ACTTAGGCAGCCTTTTGTGCACTTGTCTTTTGTGGGATCTTGTTCCGTGTAGGTTTGTGTATGACCGAGGACTTCACGTTTTGTTTTGTTGTTTTGTTATTTTTATCGTGTTTCTAAGTACACTATTAAAGGGATGTACGCATATCACGCTGCGCCTTGGTCCACTCATTATGACGATCGTGACACCCTGACTGTTTTCTCCCCAGTTACAATGTTTTTGGGAGATTTCGCAACTACTCTTTCACATGAGCATATCATCTCTTGGTGAAATGTTTATATGTAATATTGCTGGTGGATTTGTTTTGTGATGTTATTCTGTGTGGTTTGACAGGTTAAGCCCTATGAGAGGTAAGCAAGAAATATAAACATTGGGCAACACTTTCTGTGTGTTCTATCTCATAGTAAGCTGATCATCAATTCTAATTCCTTGGGTGGCGTCTGTGCGATGATCCTGTGAGCCGGTGTTACTGATGAGCCCTGTGGACTCGGACTGTTTACAGTGATGTAATGGATCTCCTCGACTTCCCCGTGTGCTCTCTCTCTCTCGCGGCCCGGCCCCTCTCCTGCAACCCTCCTCATATCAAATCTCTGAATCTTTATATAGAAATCAATACCCTCTTAATCTGCTCCTCTTTGTCCCTACCTCCCTCCATCCATCCCTCTTTCCCTCCGTCCTCCTCCCCCCATCCTGTCTCATTCTCACCACCTCACACCACCACTCTTCTCCAACCAACCAACCCCCAACTCCACCACCTCTCCCTCCCTCCTCATCCACACCTCCACCCTTCTTTTCCTCCATCCAGTGTTTCGCTCCCTCCTTTCCTTCTTCCCTTAAACTGCTGTGGCTGGTTCAGGCATGCCAATTCCAGATTGCATCCTCACACTACGAGAAAAACCCAAAGGCTGATAAGCGAAACCTGCTTGCCAATGAAATGAACTACCATCCATTGCAGACTGACCTAAATAATCTGAGGGGTTGTTCACCACGTTAGATATTCATAAAGATGAACGTATGCTCCAGCTTTGAAGGGTAAGTGTCTTGCTCAGGGGTGAAAACCAACAACAGATAACTCTTATTTTCAAGTTAGACAATGTTTCAAGAGCTATACTGTATATCAGGGGTGTTAAATACAACCCGCGGGCTGTGAGCTGTTATGAATGGTTATAGCAAGTCTTATAATGCACTTTGGGGTGATAATAGTCTCTGTAAGTGCATTCATGATGCATTATAAACAAGCAGCTCTTATCCTGCACCAAATTGCCTCCTCACCTCGTCACATCTGTTTGGCAGGACTGGGCTCATGGATGGACCGACTTAATTAGCCACACCACACTCCTCCTCCTGATTAAAACACCTGAGTGTGTGTGTGTGTGTGTGTGTGTGTGTGTGCGTGTGCGTGTCAGTGGGGTTTGGAGAGAAATCTGTGCATTCTTAATTGGGGAAACACTCGGGTGATTAGCGAGAGAGAGAGAGAGAGAGAGAGAGAGAGAGAGAGAGAGAGAGAGAGAGAGAGAGAGAGGGAGAGAGAGAGAGAGAGAGGGAGGGAGAGAGCGAGAGCCCATCATGGGGGAGGGGAGTTGGCCGGTATCAAAGGTGAATACATTCATGATAGGAAGATGCTGCTGCCCCATGGTTTCACAATCAGTTGAAGAAAGGGGGGTGCCATCTTCCACGGCACATATATCACTGGGCAGAACAGAGCCAATGCCACATATTGGATTGAGGTAAAGGACTGGGAAGGGAGGAGCAGGTGGGTGTTTGGGGTGCGAAGGCAGTGGAGGGCTCGGCGATCGGTCCCCGGCGGTGTTTACAGATTACATCCCACGCCGTGTTGACTCTTTGAAAGCCACGGGAGGCAGCGATATGTCAACAGAAGGATCAACAAACAGGGATCGATAGCTTTTCTCTCACCGACGGGTAGCGAGGGGATAACGGCAGCATTAGTGACAGGCAGACGCTGGAGGGGGCAGGTGGGCTTAGTGGCTGGCAGGCCTTGGTAGGGGGGCCCTGTCAGGACCAGGGATTTTCCCAGTTCCCATGCCCTCACATGGAGCGCTACTCTGGGTGGGACGGTGGATGTGGAGCCGGTGCCTGGGAGGCATTGCTGGATCTGTTTGTGAAGAGAGTCAGTGAGTCGATCGGTGGGTTCCAATTAGGGCTCAATCCCATTTCAGTTCCTTCCATTCAGGAAGTAAATGTAAATGCCCATTAAGAATTGAACTATACCTATCCAGAACATTCAGATCCACAACAGAGAGTAAACAAGGATAGAGGTAAGGGGAACGAGTTATTATCCTAAAACAAATGGTGAATTGTATATTTTCCCCTCTGGTGAATAGGTTTATGGGCAACCTCGGGCCAGTGCACACTTCGCCCCGCATCACATCAGCCATGCTCAGCCCCGGGGGCCTGCTGGTGGCCCTGGCTCCACCCCGGCCTGATGGAACCACCCAGACGGATATTACCACAGGCTGTGAACGCTAAGACAGGTAGCGAAACACCCCTTCTGTTCCCAACCGCCTGCCAACAGGGTGACTTGGCAGCTTCCGAGCCCCCGTGCAACAGAGAGAGAGAGTGAAGTGTGTTATACTCACAGAGCCTTTGGGTTTTAAGGGACTGGAAAACACTCCTCTGAATGGTAAATGGAGGATGATTGTTTAATGGCAACATCTGTATTTGAATAATTGCTCGAGGAGCTTCAGCCTCCTTGAGGAAAATGCAAAGATTCAATAACAAGTTGGAGAGTCATGCAGGTTGGATATGAATAGTAGTTCTCCTCAGAGAAGCAAAGCAGCCAAAGAGAGGTAGGAATAATAACCTGTTTTTGTTGGAGCATTGTTCACCAGAGGCAGCTAGTCGTATCATATCATCCCGGGGTAGAGTGCGACCGTGGCTGTGATTGTGTGGTTTTCTATTTGGGAGAGCTGTAGAGTGTGTGTGTGTGTGTGTGTGTGTGTGTGTGTGCTGGAATAGATACCCTGCTGAAAGGCGAGAGGGGTGAACAACAAACACTGGCGCTGATATTTCCCTCTTACCCTGTGGAGCAGTCGTCAAGGTCGTCTGGGCTAACCCTGACACAAGCACATAAATATATGAGCACACACACACTAACACATTTATACAGACTCACACACACACACACACACACACACACACACACACACACACACACACACACACACACACACACACAGTAGAAGTCGAGGAGCAACTAGAAGGTGTAGGGTAATGTGGCTAGCTACTGTATATTGTGAGTTAAGGAGAAGAGACAACAAATGACTTCATGTTGAGAGTTATTGCATCGCTTAGCAGAGCCAGAGGGTGGCAGTCATTGGATAAGATTACAGTCCTGTAAACACACTGCAGGTACCTCACACACGTACACACACACTGTGGCAACCAACCCCATTTCCCCTGTCCCCAGTGCTAGTCCTGCCACCGTTGGTCTGCAGACCAAACAAAACTCTTGCCAAAATATAAAATAAATCTATGGCTCTAGAGGATGATGATGTCTACTGCTTTCTCTCTCTCTCTCTCCTTCTCTTAAAGACCATTTTGGTTCCTGAAAGTTGTGAAGAAGCAGTGGTAGGCCGTCCCCCCTTGTGTGAGGGACGGGATACACTGAATAATTGAACCAGAAGACGAGGCCACCTGCAGGAGCTTCCAAAAGTCCCCCATCCATATTTTACACCTACACCACTGTATGACCCCCCACCGCCTGAACACACACACACACACACAGTCAGTTAGTACACCTCCTGTGTCTCACTCCACCCAACCACCACCCCTGATATACCCTAATTGCATCTTTCTAAAGCCGAAACACAAAAGATGCCACAAAGTAAGGCTACCCACAACATAACACCAGACCAGGTGACCTCCATAATGCCTATGTTATAAAAAGCCATTAAAACAACGTCTACACGGGAGCAACTGCCTTCAATAACATACATAAAGCCCAACGCAAAATCATGTAATAGCACTTGGCCCCTTGTACCCATAACCTGTCTCCTCAAAACATAACCCCGGACAAACGACTCATAAAACCTGGCAACGATCCCCTCCCCAACCTAGCAACCCCTTCCTCTCTCTCGGCCCTGACTCATCCCACCATCCCACTTCCAGAACCTCATCTTTTTTTCTTCTTTCAATTTCTACCCGGGATGCCAAGTAATGTCCTGCTTTTATTGTAAATCTATACTCTTAATCTGGCTGGCTCCGATGTGCTCGCTGGCCGATCAATAGGCTGCGATTGCTGGAAAGAGTCCGGGTAGGCTGATAACCCCATCACCCCCCGCAGAGTTAACCCTCACTGGAGGTTGTCAGTCAGTCCAGCGCCTGGAAACGTGCATGCATGCATACACACATAAATATTGGTGTTTGCTAATACCCGTCCACACGGACATACACTGAGTGCACAAAGCATTTGGAACACCTGCTCTTTCCATGACATAGACTGACCAGGTGAATCCAGGTGAAAGCTATGCTCCCTTATTGATGTCACTTGTTAAATCCACTTCGATCAGTGTAGATGAAGGGAAGGAGACAGGTTAAAGAAGGATGTTTAAGCCTTGAGACAATTGAGACATGGATTGTGTATGTGTGCCATTCAGAGGGTGAATGGGCAAGACAAAAGATTGAAGTGCCTTTAAAAACGGGGTATGGTAGTAGGTGCCAGGCGCACCAGTTTGAGTGTGTCAAGAACTGCAACGCTGCTGGTTTTTTCACGTGTGTATCAAGAATGGTTCACCACCCAAAGTACATCCAGCCAACTTGACACAACTGTGGGAAGCATTGGAGTCAACATGGGCCAGCATCCCTGTGGAACGCTTTCGACACCATGTAATCCATGCCCTGAGGAATTGAGGCTGTTCTGAGGGCAAAAGGGGGTGCAACTCAATATTAGGAAGGTGTTCCTAATGTTTTGTGCTTACAGTGTATATCCACACATTAACACATGTCTGCACCTGATAGATGACATGACTTTTGCTTTAAATCTCTAGTCTAATACTGATCATATGAAAAATGAGGAGGCTTCAATATATACAGTATATGGGATCTACTTCCAGGAGAGCTTTCATAATTCTCCATCGACTGGTCCAACCAATGGTGGACAGCTTCCCGAGCCACTCATAAACAGTAACCGACACCAACAGGGACAGCCCTAAACAAATGTCCATTGACAGACTGTAGGGGATGGCTAGTGGTTAGTACTATAGAACAGATCATGGAAAGCTATGAGGGGTGGGGGGAGTGAAGGGACGTTGAATGGTGAGGGGGCTTCTTTCCATCTCCCATCTCTCTCGCCACTTCACCCCGAGTGAATGACATCAACAGCCACAAAATGGTCCTAGCGGAAGGGGGAGGGGGTGGCGGGGAGAAGGGGCATGACTCCCATGTCCAGCAGACCCATTAAGGTAAGAGTGAAGGGAGATAGCGGAGATAGGGGGAATTGAGGAGGGGTTAGGGCCAGTGTGGGTTACACTGAGTAATTAGTCACTGGTCCCCCAGTAAGCTCTGACAGTCTCTGGGAATTTATGGTCCCACTCATGGAACTGGCCTGGCCATCTAATTGCAATATTAGCTTGTAATAACACCTGTTTTAAATGCCCGCAACCCAATATTTCACCACGCCCCATTGGAGCTTTCTGCTTGCCTCGACAAACTGCTTCCTGGTTTTAGATGGAGGTCCGACCTCAGAGTGCAACCTCCATTTTGTCTGCCAACCAAATGTATCCCCTACCCATCCCTTATGCTGGTTATAGGCACAAGTGTGTATGTCCAATGTGATATGTCATAGAGAAGGCATGTAAGACATGAGTAATGTATAATGATCACAAGAGAAAAAAAGAGGACATTGTCACCACACCCACTAAGAGCGTTTTCTGAATAAAGTTCCTGCAATTTCATCATTTTATATTCAAATGCTGGCTATATAGGGAGTGTGTGTGCACTTGCATACATTTAATCACGTGTGTGTGTGTGTGTGTGTGTGTGTGTGTGTGTGTGTGTGTGTGTGTGTGTGTGTGTGTGTGTGTGTGTGTGTGTGTGTGTGTGTTAGTGTTTATCGGCAATAATCAGAGGAGAGATGCAGAGCAGAATCAGAGTTTGATTTACGGATCATTTGAAACCTGCGGATCATTTGAAACAACAGAGGCGCTTGTGTGTGTGTGTGTGTGTGTGTGTGTGTGTGTGTGTGTGTGTGTGTGTGTGTGTGTGTGTGTGTGTGTGTGTGTGTGCAAGGGGCCATGAATTGCCGGCATTAACCACTTTACAGTGACGACTGATAGGGGTGATTTGCATCGCGGGTCACCAATAGCAACCCTACACCCACCCTGGCTAACTGTTATATCTGTTGGTTAAGTAGCTTGAGGCTGCGTCGCCATAAATCCTGTGCATCTTAATAGGGCACTAAAATGCAGTGATACGGGCCGTCCGGCACTAAATCATGAGCCAGGCTTGTCGCTGGAAAACATTTTGGAATTGTTTGGGTGGGGTGTAATGAGCGTAGCGATGTAGCAGGCGGGTGGAGGGGGGTGACCACTGACACACACACACACACACACACACACACACACACTCTAGTTGAGGATGATGCGGCACAGAGACATTGCATCTACGTTGTAAACTTTCAGTCATAGGCTAGGTTGTAGCAACCTCATGATGGGTATATTCAAGTATCATGTAGTAGCCTAAGCCTATCGATGTTACATTGAACTGGGTGAATGGAATATGAATGACAGTCATCCAATATGCTGTAATAGAAATAAGGCCATGCTCATAAAAAAAAAAAAAAATGGTCCTCCCTCATCCTAAACGACACTGATCGCCACTGGGGTCTGTGGGTGTGGGTGTGTGGGTGTGTGTGTGTGTATTTGCTGATTGAAAGTATCGTCATTGTAATCGTATATGCTCAGGGTTGGGCAGATTACTTTCTAAATGTAATCCGTTACAGTTACTAGTTACCTGTCCAAATTTGTAATCGGTAACGTAAACAGATTACTTTCAGTTACTTTTAGATTACGTTCCCTTTAAGAAGAAGACACAAATGAATATCACCAATTGAACGACATCTATTGCAGGATAAATCAATGTTAGAGTTTACATAGCTGGCCATAAATGGATGTTGCATTTTACTTTATGGGTTGGTTATGTAGGCTTCTTCTAACCCATTGCTTTCTACTGCAACTAATAATACAATTAGGCTATATCTTTACATTAAAAACCAAAGTCTGCCAGATTTCCAGTCATTCCAATTAATTTAATACCCCTTGATCTTCAAGAATAGGACTTGGAAATATAGATTAGCCTAATTGTTTTACCTGAGCATAATATTGTTTTTACACTCAGTCGAGGTCTCAACTTACTGTTGAGGGTTAGAATAGTATGATACACAAGGTGCAATATAGAAATGTTGTTGTGCATCTGCAGTTTTTCTCTTGTTATGTCAGTCACTGATAGTCACTCAATTAGCCATGTCAGCTAACAATTATTTTATTGGTAAAATAGTCTAGCCAGCTATCTAATTATTATCATGGCCAAATACTGACCGGGCACACAGGGCACGTGCCCAGGGGCCCTGACCTCCAGGGGGCCCCCATTGATTTTGTTATTCACGGTCACTCAGATATCATTAACATGGCATAAGTCATGGCAAAATGTGTAGAATTGCAGGTAATTAGCTCTGCCGTCAAGAGGGGGGCGACTAAAGTGTTTTGCCCGCGAGGTGGGTGGGCCCCTCATCCAAATCTCCCCTAGGGCCCCCAAAGGCTAGGGCCGGCCCTGAATCAGTTACCCAACCAAGGCAGGGCCCCCCAGTTACCCACATGGGCCCCCTACCTCCTCTCCTCCCCCCATCTGATGATTAGCAGAGCGGCAGCATGTCATCTACACTCATTGAGAGCGGGTTCCTGTGGTTGGCGGTTACAGTAAAAATTTTAATAAATCAGCACTATGCAACTGTTGCAAGAGCGCATTTTTCACTGGCTGTACACTGGTCGCAAAAACAATGATTGATAGGCAGCTTAAGCTTCTTCAATTTAACCATTATTGGGATAAAGTACACATATACATTTGTAAACAGCCATCCACAACCACCACAATCTGTAGCCTAAGGCGCAAATAGCTAAATGAGATGGCAGCAGTGTGATTCACATCAATGCGCTATGTAGATAATAAGTAAAATCTGTATCGCCTGTAGGCTACACCACTGCTTTCGTCCTCCAAGTGTTTATTCAAGTTGGATAATCTTTGGATGCTGACAGTCGTTGCACCATTGGAAGACATAGCTTGGACTGTAGCCTACAAAAGCCTATTCCTGCTCTTTTCCCGCGATCCATCAAACACATTTGGTGTCATCATCGTGGTCTCTGACTTGTTGTCAGACTCGCTCAGGAGGAACTTTTTCAATGCTGATTCAAATGTAATTGAGAAAACAAAGGTGTCAACAATTTTTTTTCTCAAACATCCTTTCTGAATTTAAAAGTAATCATTTCGTTTTTTAAAAAGAATCTGTAATGTGATTACAATATTTTTGCGCTGGTAACGTAACGGATTACAGTTACCGTTCTTTGTGGGTAATCCGTTACTCCCCAACCCTGGCTAGAGGTCTGACTAAAGAGAATAGTATGAGATTTACTGAGATCTGAGACCTTAACCTGATCTAGGAAAACACAGTGTGACATGATCTGTGTGGCTTTGGACTGTAACACATATCACAGGCAGGAAGAGGTGAGAAGAAGACATGTCTGTATGTATGTGTGTGCTTATATATTTATGTGTGTGTTTATATATGTGTGTGTGTGCGCGCGCATGTGTGTTTGTTGTGACTCTGTATGTGTGGATCTCTGGTTTCCGAGCTTCCAGCTCTCCTGTCCCCTGGCCATTCTCAAAGCTCAGTCTAACGAGCCAACATGGATTTGGTAATGACCCCTGTGCCCTCGGAGGCCACTACTGTCTTTTTGGAGGAGGTCAGTATACCCCAGCCAGCCTGACAGGTCCAATGATAGACACAACCACGAAACCTTGGTCCTGCTTACCTGCTTGGTCCCACTGCTTGCCTGCTTTGTGGCTGTGAAAGAAAGAAGTGGATAAAAGGTGTGTGTCCTTACCTGTCAATGATGACTGGATCAGAGGGCGTCTCGTTGCGGTTTCCACAGCTCTTCTTGTCACAACAACGGCTAGGGAAAAAATTAAGACACAATTCATTATCACACTCAGGTTTACTGAAAACATTTACTATAATTTGTTACTATAATTGTTGGACTTTCTCTGGTAACAGTGGGCATACAGCGGACATACTATGGAGTCAGAGAGGAACCATGTGCAATCTGCTGAGTGCCATCCACGTTCTCCCCTCCCTCGCCCCTCTGTCCCCTTTCTCCCCCCATTCCCCCACCTCGACCCACGCTCCAGCTGGCCAGGGCTCCAGCCAAGGTCACTCAGTGACTCGTTGACAGTTTGGACAGCGCCCAGAGATGGCCGGCCTGGTGCTGAGCCACCTCTCTCTCTCGGTCCCCTCCGCTCGTCCATCCTGCCCCCCGTGCCATCACCCCTGCCACACCGCCATGGCCACCAGGTCTGTGCCACTGCCCCTCTGCCCCTGCCCAACTGCTCATGTGGTGGCATGCCGTTTCAGAAAAGGGGGTGTGAATTCAGCCAAATGTGCCCTTCTCGTTGGTTACCATGCAATGGTGGACAATGAGGATCATTTTCCCATTGATTCTGATTCAGTCTAGTGTAACAATAGCACAGCGCAAAGAGAGTTTTTCAGTTCACACAATGCTTTGTGTGACTCCGTTTTGTTGGTAGTGGTAGTGGCATACTTTCTAGTAGTTTAGCAGTCCATTCAGGGTCAATTACATTGGATTCAGAAAATGAATTTGGATTCAATATATGTATTTTGTACATTTACATTCAACATGATTTGTTTCATGCAGAGACTCAAATGTAAATAGGAGTCCTGATTCTGTGGGTTGCTACAGTAACTAAGGTCCCATTTTAAATATAAATGTGTTATTCTAAAGATAATTGAAACCAACCCTCTTATTCTTAAAAATTAATCATATTGCATGACCTGCCGAGGACCAATTATGCTCACACACTCACCCATGCTGTCATGAATCACATTGCCACAAAGAAGCTACAAATCGAGCCACCGAATGCCAAATGAACCCATTTTATGAATCATTTATCACACCGTTTAGTAGAAGTAGAAGAAAAACATAAACTAAGCACTGTTTTTTTGCCTGGTCTTTGTGTGTGTGTGACTGTTGCCATAGAACGCGCCACAATAATTTATTCTCCCAGCTACTTGGAACCATTAGCAAAGTTCCAGGAGACCAATTAGCATTGGAAACCCAATGGTGCTGCTGTGGTGACAACCTCCTCAAACTGAGAAAGTGTTATAAACAAACTGGACCCCAGGAGCACTGCCAGGCCCCTCGGGGGACCCGGGACCTTCGCACACGAAAACAAACCTTGGCTGAGCGTCCACAATATCACCTTAATGACGTTTCCCCCCAGGGCCCAAACAGGCTAACACCCTAGCTAGCTAATGACTGAGAACACAGGCCAGTAAGTCAGACGAGTCCTACAAAACAACTAGACTGGATATCCAGTCAGCGTTACTACTCAAGCCATGAGCCTAAGCATGAGCAGTGCTGGTCCAGTGAGCGCCACAGTAACGAAACCAGAGAGGCCAAAATCACAGATAGCCTACTTGATGATTTGTCAATCTAGCAAAAAGGATCCACACCGAATCTACAATAAGAAGTGAGCCTGGAATGCCAGTTTTAGCCCAAGATGGGCAGCCTGCCTTGGCTGGTCACTAGAATCATTACCATTGGCTCTCCAGCCAGCCAGGCATACTTCAAATGATCCCCACAAGTGGAATCTACTTAAGCACTAAAAAAGGAGTGTTCGAAGCTGAACTATCAGAGTTTAGCTTTAAAAAACAAGAGAAGCCTTCAAAGGCTCCCTGAGGAACCTGAAGACGAGCATCAGAGGGATGGAGAACAGAGCGAGTCTGTTGGATCACAGGCCTGTGATAAGATGCGAACACAGTGAATGGCTGTCAATGGAGGGCTTGTTTTCAAAGGGCAAGAGCTGTAATTACCCAGCCCAAACATGAGGGCCGTGGCCAGACCTAATGATATGCGGCAGGACGGCAGGCAGACAGCCGGCTTGGCTGGGAGAGGACGCCCGTGGCAAGCCTTTCTCTCTCACACAGCGTGCCCTCTTCCAGCCTGGCACCGGGGCTGGTGCACAGAACCCAGTCCTGGCTAGCCTGTGTACCCATAGCACAGTCCTCGAATGACTGACCCACGCCAACTGACTACCACAAAGCCCAGTTTGGTGGTTTTGGAAGAGCCAGTCTCAAATTAAAGAATGCTGTGTTGATATTATGAGCCAATGCATGTCACATTACATGGAATACAATGACACTTAACATCTATTTGCTAATCAACTACTGACATAGTTAAGTTTATAGTTTTGTGTATGTCAAGTAGTGATATTTAAAATACTTAAATATAAATATTTTTTTAAACACTGTAAATAAAGGGTCTCCATTTTGATCCCAAAATCTATAATGTCGTCATGTCTATCTAATTAACGACTAATAAACTCATTGCAAATCTTTTAAATTGTCAAACCTTTCAATAGGTTCAGTGCATTTAACTCTAAGATGAGAGAACTACTCTCTATCTTCAGAGAGTTCTGGACAAAGGGACAAGTCTCAAAAGCCACCACCAGGGACCACATGGCCATGCCTGAGCGGGTCCCTACCAGCTGATACAGTATACTTCCACTGCAGATTGAGTGTGTTACTTTATACAGCAGCGAGCCAGGTTGCAACACCATGAGGGACTAGATAAAGACACCTCAGCCATCACGTCCCTGTCACCTGGGAGACCGAGGGGGATATCGAGATAGATGAAGAAAGAGAGCGTATCTTTCATCCCCTTCTCATTAACCAATGGAAACAGGGGAAGGATTCATTAGGGGAAGGATGGTTAATAATCACACTCAATCACGTAATGACCGACGCCGACTGGAACCGTCATTATGAAAATGAAGCGGCGTATCAGAGGGGATCTCCAAGGAGGAGACAATGGGTCCGTCGCTCAAAGAAGTCCCCACATTTTCGGTATCGACAATTTTTCAACTAAATGTTGAAAAGTTGAATGTTCCTCCATGCACTGTTTGAAATTGGCTTTGAAATGTGAAACAAGATGCATGAGATAACTGGGAGACAACCCTCAGATAATACATGATATGGTTTCCCCAGCTAGGTCATAAAATTAGTACGATAATGACTTAGAGCCTTATTCAACCAAAATAACAGATGGAGGGTTTCCATGGTAAGGCAAATCAGCATTCTTCTAGAACTGTGTTTAAACACTTAGCTGAGTTATTGATTCAATTAATCAACAATTGCCTTCTCACGGGTAAATGCTCTATTGTCTTGCCCCAGAAACTTCCTGATCAAGGTTTTGCTTGAATAGCAGTTGATGCATATGCAATTGGGTTCCAACAGGGATGACTGAGTCAGTGGAAAAGGCAAAGGGCTGTGTCGACCCCAACCTCCTCCCTCCCTCTTTTTATTTCTCCACCCAGCTGAGGCCTCTCGTGGGCCAAGGCATGAAGCTCCTCAACCCCCCAGTGTCCAAGGCGGCACACACACAAACACACACTTCCTGTATTGCATAATTAACACTCACTCCTACCAGGCCCCAACCAACGCCCTACAGACTTGTGCCCAGCCAACCTCCATCAAAACACATACAAACACACAAAGCCCCCATCAACATGGGCCTTCATCCGGCAGACACACAGTGGGCAGATAATGACTCAGCATGGTATTCAATCCAACTATACTTCTTTAATGAGAACAACCCTATAGGGCTATATAGAGAGAACTATATAACACGAAAAGCGATGGCCCACAGAGGAATAAGGATGCCCCTTCTTGAATAAAATTCACTGGTTTTGACCAATGGGACTTTAACCTTGAGCCTTGTGGTGATCCCTTAAAGGGTTCACCCAAACATTAATTATTTCCATAAAATAGCCTGGAGTCAATGGTATGTGTACATGTTGTGTAGATTCTTGTACATGCATCAGGAGAACTGCAGAACCCAATCCCAGATGAATTTAGATGGTGCCAATCGTTTCCATTCATTTGATTCTGGGGTGAAGTATCCCTTTAAATGTTGCATTTACCCCTATTGGTTAGCAGTGGCACTCACCTGCACATGATCTCGTGGGTGAGAAGGACACGGCACATCTCTGGGTTTTTGTCCTGGCCCTCGTAGAGGATCGCCTACGGAGAGGAAAAGAGAAGCCAGTGTTTCTGTTTGTTTAGCCTTATGGTAGTCCTACAAGTCTTCATTGGGTCCCTGTGCTTGAACTTGTGCTTGCCTGTACAATTTCTGATCATAGCCTTGTAAAGGTTCTGACTACATATAACTGCAAAGGCTTTGTGTGTGTGTTCGTTGTCAGTGTCTGCTAAATAACTACAATGGAATTGGATGGCACTTTATTAACGTAAGCACCGCTTGCCTAACTCTCATATCATATTAATAAAGAGAGAAAGGAGGCTAGACTGAAGAGATGGAGGGGGCCGATGAGGGGGCAGCCCCCCCATAGTGGAGAGCCACGTGGTGTAGAGCGGCCCGGTCGGCCCTCCATCCCTCCATCCCTCCACCCCTCCACCCCTCCATCCCTCCCAGACAGATGGCCGTGTGAGGCCCCGTAAGAGAGAGAGACCACCCCCTGGGCATCCTTCACTGGAGCTGTCATGTCGGCCCTGGATGACGGATGACCACTGAGAGGAGCTGCTCCCTCCTTCATTCTCTCTATACCTCCTCTGTCGGAGGGATGGAGGGATGGAGGGATGGAGAGAGGAAGAGAGGGAGGGAGTGCTCCATCCCACTCATTTTACTCACCCAATGACCTACCCCTACCTCATCCACCTAGGTGGTCAGTTGCCCCACACACACACACACGCACCCCAAGGGGACAATACTTTTAGGATAACGACCACTTCTGCATTATTGATTCCTCCCTGCCTCCCTTCCTCTATATTAAAATCTGCCAATTTCGCCAGAAGGGGTGGGGATTGCAACAGGGACTAGGGAATGGGAGTGGGAGTGTGTGTGGAGAGGAGAGGAGGTGTGGGGGGTATCGGGTCGATATTTATACATCATCATTTCTGATTCAAGTAGCCGCTCCACCCCCTGGAGCTAGTCTGGGAGTTTTCATGGGGGTATATCATGGACGTACGTGAGTAATACCACCATGTTGAAAAAGGCAAAAAGGAGAATCAAGATACAACTGTTTTGAGGATGATAGGGCAGACTGAAGGAGGATATCAAACAGATATATTTTCCTACACATCCATTGTTAAAATAAGATTATTTGTATTCCTATTGTGTGCCTTCCAGGTATATGCACTATATACAGTAATATGTTTGAATTTGCCAATAGGAGTGTCTGAGAATGGGCTCCTAACACACAACAGCCAATCAATAGACCCGGGCCCCCCTCTGGCTGCTAGACGGCTGCCTTTCTGCGGGTGGACACACTACAGTATGCAAAGTCTGCATGTCTGTCTGTCCAAGTCTAGGCAAGAGGGAGCGATTTGAGTGGCGCACCCGAGGTAGAAAGCTCCTTGTGTTGTTGTCAGGATTATTGTCTCCAGCGCGCCGTCGCTGCAGCACATTAAGGGCTATTGATTGGTTTCCGTGGCTGGCGCTTTGTCGAGGACCTGGTTGCCGCATCGATCTGTGACAGCCTGACATGGCGACACAGGGAGGGCTGGGGATAGGGAGGACCTGGTGGGCTGGGGATAGGGAGGACCTGGTGGGCTGAGGATAGGGAGGACCTGGTGGGCTGGGGATAGAGAGGACCTGGTGGGCTGGGGATAGGGAGGACATGGTGGGCTGAGGATAGGGAGGACCTAGTGGGCTGGAGATAGGGAGGACCTGGTGGGCTGGGGATAGGGAGGACCTGGTGGGCTGGGGATAGGGAGGACCTGGTGGGCTGGGGATAGGGAGGACCTGTTGGGCTGGGGATAGGGAGGACCTGGTGGGCTGGGGATAGGGAGGGCAGGAAGGAGTGTACAGTACAGCACAGTGTGTGGTGGAGCCAGGTTGCTACATTGGTGTTGGCTGCCCCTATGTCTTCTAGCCTGACTGGTCAAGACTAGTTATTTGCCACTGGGGTACTGTAAATTGATAGCACTTTAGCTCAGCAGGTAAAATTACTGAAGGGTGTCTGTGTTCATGGGTTCAAATCCCAGGTGGGATAGGTTGACTCATACGCAGAGGAGTACTGCTACTGGAAACAATGTTCACACTGGTAGCCTGTTAAAAGGCTGGGATCAGTGTAAGGAGAATGCTCACCTGTTTGGTCATGGAGTCTATCAACCGTACAAACAGATCTTGTTCTGTCCTGATGCCTGCAACACAACACAAATATGTATCAGATATGCTGCAATTACACTGTAATAACACATGACACCAATTTAGATTTAAATGTTAAGATCCATTGATAGAATAACAAGTTTAATGTCATCTTGGTCCTCTGTAGCTCAATTGGTAGAGCATGGCGCTTGTAACGCCAGGGTAGTGGGTTCGATCCCCGGGACCACCCATACGTAAAAATGTATGCGCACATGATTGTAAGTCGCTTTGGATAAAAGCGTCTGCTAAATGGCATATTATTATTTTTATTATTATCTTCCTCTGTAAATAATTTGCATAGAAGTAGGCGTGTGGTTTAGCCAAAGTAAATGTCTCGAGCAACAACAATATAAACATCAGCCTAAAATGCTAATTCACTTCATTCACAGAAATAAAAACATAAAAGATGGATTTCTAATAATGTCCTCTAACTGAATTCTGTTTATTTGTGTCCCCATAGTGTCTTTATGTTTTCTGTGGTACTTGTCATGTAGACCAAGCTTTTCTAACCCCCCTCAGCAAAAACAAACAAGCCTGTGCTCCCTAGCTTTTACTATTTATGATTTCCCGGCTGCAACTGCCGAACTCCCCTCGCTCCTGCTGCCTTTTTGGAATTCTCATTCACAGACAAATTAAATAGCAATCATTATTGCTTATCTTTTATTAGCTTTGCAACAGAGCGTAAATATGGCATAAATACGACAGGGGGTAGGTGGTCAAAAAGGACCATGGGAAACTGCTAGTCGGTTTTCTATTTCTTGCCTGTAATTGCGTCAGGCTTTGGTGTTTTCTCACAATTTATTTGTGCTTTTAAAAAATGTCATTTTTAGGTTACTTGTGAATTGTACTGAACCCCACCCACAGTCTTCTGTCTCGTCTCAGGATGTGGTCTCAAAACAAATCCATGGTAACATGAATCTAAGCTGTGTGCTTTAAAATGACCACAGATCAGTGTTCAAATTTCAAGTTTTTTCCCCGATGACCAAAACAGACTTTAGGATTTGGTGGTGGTCAAATATAATTCCAGATGTGATAAGGATTATCAATTATATTTCTGCTGTCTTTTTTATTTAATGTACTAGCCTAGCGGTTAGAGTGTTGGGCCAGTGATCAAAAGGTCGCTGGTTCAAATCTCCAAGCTGACTAGGTGAAAAATCTGCTGATGTGCCCTTGAGCAAGGCACTTAACCCTAACTGTTCCTGTAAGTTGCTCTGGATAAGAGCGTCTGCTAAATGACTAAAATGTAAAATGTTTTTCCTGAAAGTGCTAAAAATAATCTTTCCACAGAGAGTAGCAAGAAGACTGCAATATGTTTGGAGAGATGATCATGTTCTTACCGTTACTGTAAAGAAGCTGTAGCCTGTAATGGATGCCGTTGTTGGTCTTCTCTCCATTGTACTCCTGAAAGAGCCAAAGACAAATACAGAACATTTTTAAGATGGCGCTCAGCTTTTGAGGTGACACCCCAAATCAAAGGCAATATCAGCCCATTAGTCCCCTGCTGTAATGTTGTCATAAAGGGTCTTGTACGTAATCCAATATCTCACAACAAAAGGAACTACCTGAAAAAAATGAACTAGGCCTTCCTAATCTACACTCATCTGTCTCAATCTACCCTATCACTGAAATTCTCCAAAGAGACCAACATCCCAGTCCTAATCCAAGCAGATGTTGGGCCACAAATCGAAATCTTAAACCCAACTCTGGTGCCACAGGGAATAACCAGACTAATACGGCATACACTGCATCCAATTAGAGATCATCTGAAGAGGACACTTAAATCCCCTAAGAGGCCAGGGGACCAACCAGCGTTATTACTGGTTACTTGCTGTTATACCACTGTTATTACCTTGTGGTTTCATTTTAGGTCGAATGAACTTGCAATCAGAAGGCTGTTAGTTAAGGTATTTCACAGTGCCTGTGTGTCCACAATAACAGGTACATCTAATAATGGTATGCAACTGAAAACATCAATTAAAGTGAACATTTGTAATATCTACTAGATTTGTATAGGAAGGCAATTCTGGGAAAGTTAGTTCTGGGGGTTCATGTTTTTAAAAACATAATCTCTTTTCCCATAAACTCTGAGGATAATCCACACCATTCTCTGATTGAGTTATATTTATGAAGTTGCTAAGCCCTTGCTATTTTTGAGTATTTCTCTAGGCCCAAAATCCCACCACAGGTCCATGGTGATATACAACATGGAATCTCCATCTTTCCTCCAACTCCCGTCGCTGACACGCACACAACAAACCAGCTGTTTCACTGTTGCATCGTCCAGCCGGGAATAAATCAAACAGCAACGACAAAAGGACAAACTGTTACCACAACTATACAGAGAGATGCAGCTAGAGAGAGGAGACATTATCTCTAGTCTAAGTGACAGTGCCCATTTAGTGTTGGTCGCCATGGTCACCAATGACCTCAGCTCCCAGGTGGGCCAAGTCGCTCTCACTGATCTCGTGTCACCTCTTCAACGGGCGGGCACCGGGAGAGAGGCCACATCCGCTTCCCTCTGTCTCCCTCTCTCTTTCTCCCTGTCTCTTTCTCCTTCCCTCCCTCACAATCTCTCTCTTTCGCTCCTTCCCCCTCCGCCGCGCGGTGCCAAGTGTGCCGTGGAGTCTTGGCAGGGGCCCAGGGGCAGGCTGGAGGTCAAGGCAGAGGTGAACGGGCAGGGAGGACGGGAGGAGCGGCCGTGCCAGCTGGCCGCTGTCCCTCCTGACCGTGGGCGGAGCTGTTCTCTGTAACCTTTTACTGAGAACAACCCCCCGGCAGCATGGCAGAATGGCCCAGGCGGCAGGTAGAGAAGTGGGTTACCATTACCACTGAGAGCACAGGTACTGCTGAACAATACCATAGAACACACACAGAGAGACAGAGACTCATAGACTGGTCAACTATATAACAAAGAGGCTGTAGACGGCACATGAATGTACAATAACTTACATTAAAAACTACTGCTTAAAATGAATACAAAGGCTTTTCAAATATGCTTTTCATGAGCATGTCTGATTAAATCATCATATTTGCTCTCTTATATTGTATTATTTTAATGAAAATTTGATGAAAAAATTGATACCTTCATGTAACCTCTTATCATCAAAATTCCTTAAATAAAGTTACTATTTGAGTTTAATGTCTGATTTAAAGCTGAATCAAACTGCTTTCATTCAAGATTTCCTGCTTTCTGCTCATCACTGCCCCCCGACAGGTTCTTTGGAAACTGCGAGTGCTTCTATATCTGAATGGTTTCTACCCACAACCAGCTCTCTGGATTACAATCTATCTTTGGAAGTTTCAGTTATTGTAAGAAATCTCAAAAGCTTAATGTACTTTCTAAAACTAAAATACTTTGAATTAGTATTGAATCACTAACAATAGATACTTACAATATGTCAAATCTGTTAATTAAATAAAAACGATATTTATTTATGAGGTGGACATAATCAATATTCAATTAACATAAAGTATATTATCTTAAAATAAATGTGAACAATTCTGTTTATGAAATTCTAATAAATTCTAATCAATATAATCAAATTAGTGTATATAAAATATAATATAATTCTGTTAAATCATTTCAGAATGCAAAGATATAAAATTCATAAAAATCTAATTCACTAAAGAAATGCATTACATTACATTGCAGTATACTGTATATAATAAATAAATTAACAATATAGGGAAAAAATATTGATCTTGACATCAAGAGACATTTTAATGTATCCACAGTTTCTGTGCTAGACATTCCATATTTCAAAGCATCACTGTGCTATAGCACTGAACGAAGCAGAAGGAATGATGTCCCACAAACACTGGCCCCAGCGTCAGTGCCACCCTTTTATCCCCAATGCCAGCTATACCTGGCACACATGCCCTCCTCCCCATTCCCCTTTGTGTATTGGTCTTACTTTATCTTTCTCCACAAAGTCTATGTAAGATGTCCTCTCAATCTCCACGGGCTGGCCCTGTCGGTCGTACAGCGCCAACACAAAGTGAAAGAAGTTGGATTTGCGCAGGTTCGAGGGGGGCTGTTTTTCATAGTGAGCCCGGGCCAGACCTACACCGCTATGGATATGAGAAAGAGAGAGAGAGGGACAGGGACAGGGGGAGAGCAAATGGGAGAGAGAGAAGGATGAAATGTGGTTAGTACCATGTAGACAAGGAGCACCATAGCAATTCTAAACACAGCAGGCGCTATTCAATCACAAGCTGTTTCTGCAGGTAAAACAAATGTTGTTTACTGTGTGAAACTAAAAGAAAGTTGGAGTACTCCAATAATTTAAGTAAGACGGCTCGCAAAGAAAAACCCTGGAGCAGTTGTGATTGAATAGGACCTAGAGTCCTGATAAGCATTAGTATACAGTCCTTGGTTTCATTTAAAGAAACCTACACATTCAGGTGTTTCAAAACGTGTTCATTCTTCCGACAAAAATGGATCTTAGTCAGGTCAATACCTACTATCAGCACCAACTGCACAAAAAAAACCAGGTAATCTTTCAAAACAAAAAAATATCCACCAAAACACAAATGATGAAAAGATTAAAAGAAGGAGAGAGAGAGTGATAGATAAAAGACACTTGGCCCTCTCTTCACGTTCCCTGTGTGTGCCACACGTTCCTTTGTGTTATTAGTCTCCTCGACCACCTTAACAATGTGAATTTGGCTAGGTAGCAGGGACCCCAGAAGGCAGCGTCTGCCTCGGTTCGTGCCAAGCGCTGTGGGCTACCATTCGGCTTGGCAACCGTGCCACTCCAGTTTTCCCTGACCTGTCAGTCAAACTCTGCCCTGCATCCCCTGGGCCAGGAGAATAAAAGACCTCCACACACTCGGCGTACGCCATATGCACGCACACGCAGACACACACACACACACACACTCGTCCCTTTTCACCATTGATTTAGAGGATGTCTGCTAACACGCCACGCACACACTGCTAACCAGGGTTGGAGTTCATTTAGATTAAAAGTGAAGTTTTGAAGTGAATGCCAATTCAAAGCTGACATGGTGTGGAATAGATGATGAATTAGAATTGAAAAGGTTTCAAAGCTTTGGAGAGGAATTAATATGGAAGGTTTTTAACAATCTGAATTTAATTCAATTGATTTTGGAGAGAGAGAAAGCTGAATGGATGATGTTGTCACACACACAGCGAGTCTTGACCTGTCACTATTAATGGCAAATTGTAGTGAATATTGATAACCACTTGCAACAAAAAAAAAGTTGAGACATACAAAAGAAACATACAAAAGAAACAAAATGGAAATTAGCATAAACATATGTAAAAATAAAATGGTGCGGAATCATGTCTTCAGGTGAAGAAAATAAATGACAGATTGCAGTGTGTCATAGACTGATTTGGACTGATTTCCTTTACATGTACCTTATGCTCTGGAGGACTGTGCATAACTTCTCTAGGCCATGGACAGAGAGCTATTCTTTGAGTAAGATATCTCATGCATCTCTGCCTATCTCATAGCTTCAAAATAAACCCATTTTTTAATCCAATAATCGATTCATCATTCAGGAAAATGTTCAAGGATGCATGAGCGTAATTGCTATAGGAGCTCTATTGTTAAATCAATGAAACATCTAAATATCATAATGTTTTGGTATCAATCTCTGTTCAACTTGGTTGCTGATATCTCATTTATCTACACTAACAAAAACATAACCATGATCAATATGAGATTCCAAGTGTAATGGATGTCACGCTGCTTGCTTAGCAAGTACCACTTCCTCCTGATTCGGCTCACACCAAGGTTCGAACCCAGGATCTCTGCTTTGCTAGCACACTTGACCGCCCTCCTGAAGCATCTTCCAGTGGCGCCACGTGAAAAGCTAGCTATTCGCTGGCGTAAGTGGGGACAGTTCAGGCTGAGGAGTAAGTTTCACACATCCTCATGTGCCACACAAGCACAAAGCAGTTAATGTACAAATATTTATTCCCGTGCCGCATTTTTCTTGGAGGGCGGAGAGAGTGTTTTTGGAAAGTTGCCTGGTTGCTTTCTCTCAGCACTCATGGGTATATTCCGCAGACGCTAGATTAATACAGGCGTGACCTTTTCTGCACCCCATTACCAATGCTTACTGCCTCATTTGTAACCCAGTTTGTTGAAAGCGAATTCCTGGACTCAAAGACGAAAGGTTGCTCAAGGGAGGATGGAGTTTTACATCGGGGGGAGATAAGAGAGAAAGAGAGTTGGGGCCTATCTGACGTCATGGTTTCAGTGCTACTAAATATGAACTGTGGGACTGATTGGGGACTTTTTCCACTCTAGCATACCCTCCTTACAAATCCTTCAAGAAGTCAAAAAACTAAGACTAAAAAGTTGATAGAGGAAAAATCCCACGAAGTTGCTAGGTTTTCTGCTGAACACAAACATTAGGTGACCGTACTATTGCCATGGCCTACATATAAATATTCTGGTAAACAACCTCAAAATTATACTTAACTACCTAACAATTAAAATAAGACTAGAGCGAGAAACAGCCCTCACTATCATATCACTTCCCACCTCCAATTACATGTATAAACCCCCCTTCGACACCATTACCCCAATTATGAAGCTACACAAGAACATTGGTGATACGTTGAGACCTCCAGCAACGGCAGCGGTGCCAGAGCCAGTCTCAGCACATTCAGATCTCTCTGCACTCTATCGACACAGAAAGCTTGTTAGCGTTATTATTTCAATTATGCTAATTGCAGCCGCATCCAATTATGCTTGGCCGCGGCAGCCTGTAGTGCACGGCAGTGGTACTCAGTATAATAAAAACAGAATCGATGGCACACAGGTTTCTACTACGCAGGCTGTGTGTAAATCAGAGGCAAACAGACAGACCAACAACAAATACCGCTAACAGATCTTCCGACGGAGCGCCACCCTACATGTGCTTTGACACGTTCCCACTGTAACCGCTGAAGGGAAAGATCACGTGTGAAGCAGCAACTGTCCATCCTGTCCACTCAACACAATCAGCTGACACCAAAAGCCCATGTCCATTCTGTGGCTGATATCAATGCAGGGACAGTGTGTTTACTGAGTTAGTAGTTTTGACATGGGCTGGTACATTTGATCTAAAGTCATTAGAGAATTTAACAAGATTTTGAGTTGTAGTTTTAACGACTATAAATGATTATCAAATTTTTTTAGGAGATTCTACATTATTTTTTTTTTTTTTTTAGGTCCAGTTATCCGCCATGCAGCATTGGCATGGTCGTCAAAGTGTGCATTCTTCGGCAGTATCGGCTTAATGCAATGCAGCAAATTCTAATTATGATAAATGAAAAAGGTAACCCCGGGCTAAAGTCCTCACTGCTGGAGGGCTTGCACACTTCAGGGAAATGGATATTAAGCACTGAGACTCCTGCTCTGAAATGATCTACTAATGAACATGCAGAAGAAGGGCTCTCCCTGTATAATGGACACTGTTGATTGTGTGTGTGTGTGTGTGTGTGTGTGTGTGTGTGTGTGTGTGTGTGTGTGTGTGTGTGTGTGTGTGTGTGTGTGTGTGTGTGTGTGTGTGTGTGTGTGTGTGCGTGTACGTACATGTATACAAATACATTGTTCTGCATATAGCTGTGAAATAGTACCCATGAGCAGCTGGTAAATCTTCCAGATTGTAGCTTTAAGGGAGTGATCAGTGGTTGCCCTCCCCACCGCCCCCACTCTCCCCTGGGTAGAGCGCATCCCCTGTGCCACCAGAGTGGGCACAGTGGACACGGCCCGCACCCCTCCAGCATTAATCAGCTGGGTGATGGGGTGTGACTGACCGACCGACTGAGCGGTGGAGTCTTTAACCAGCGTGGCCGGCTGCTTCCTGCAGGACAGCCTAATGAGCCATATACCATTGCTTTGTTTATACAAATGGGATGCAAGCAGAGTATTCAAAATATCCTCTCTCTGGCCTACTGCCACTGTGTTAATCTAATGAATAGTGGAACTGTAAATTCCACAACCTCTGTGGTGGTTGTACGGCCACCCCTCTCTGGGTTGCAACTTGGTCTGTCCCTGGAGAGGACAGTAGGTGACAAAGCTATAGGACTAACACAGAGAAGATGTTGAGTATAAAACCAAGGACGAAACCAAAGGAGATAGTAAAAGGGGGGGGGGGGGATATCAGAATAAAACAGCATGGAAAAAACAATGTAAGGAACATTGACCTATCTAGATTTAGACCTACACTAATTGCACCAGCAAATGTTGGGGGGGTGGGGGAGATCACATGAAATATATGCAAATGTTGGTATGAGTGTGTGTGTGTGTGTGTGTGTGTGTGTGTGTGTGTGTGTGTGTGTGTGTGTGTGTGTGTGTGTGTGTGTGTGTGTGTGTGTGTGTGTGTGTGTGTGTGTGTGTGTGTGTGTGTGTGTGTGTGTGTGTGTGTGTGTGTGTGTGTGTGTGTGTGTGTGCATAAGGAAGAGTGTAATTTATTCAGCCGATACACAATTACTCTGGCATACATTTGCCCAGTCAGGGCCGCTCCCTCCCTAGTGCTTGTTTGGTTAGCTCTTATTAGCCGTGTAATATGAGCTAATGAGTGGAAGCCTGGAACACGGCAGGAGGACAGCCCTCGCCTGTGTGTGTGTGTGTGTGTGTGTGTGTGTGTGTTTTGAAACACTAAACCCTCAGTAGGCAGGATGGGTAGACTCGGATTCTTTCAGTCTGTAGTTATGTCATCTGATGAAACAGATCACCACACTCCCTTAGACATCTACTCTTCTCTCTCCTCTCACAATATAGGACCAACCATTTAATATTACCCACATATTGCAAGGTTGTTACGCCGCTACAACAATGCTTTGCCTTAAGAAATCCAAACAAAAAACGCACCATCATAGTGGAAAACAAATCACATATATGGTCTACTCTAACTGCCCCAATGAACTATCCCATCCCTAAGCAATAAGCTGCCTCGTAGTTCAACATCTGTCAGTATTTGAGCAATCAGGTTTGAGGAATCTCATTATGCCGTTTTAGAATTCAAAATCCAGTGCATGATTTGGCTAGTCAGTGAGCAACCCAATCTCACAATCTTACAAGTGCAATTGAAAACGTCAGTGTCACTGTGCATTGATAACATCTGAACAGAATTCATTAATCAGAAGAGAGATGTTGCCACTACATTGATGTGTAAGAGGAATCAATTACTTCACAAGGAAACAGAGATTGAAAAATCACAGTTTCACATTGTCTTCAGAAGAGCGATACAAAAGCCACTCTTCCCTTCCACTCTCTTCCTCAGAAAAGTATTGAAATAGAAAGGAAAGAGCATCTCTTCAAAGAATACGAAATACTACTTGTGAAGTGGATTTGAAAAGTACTACCCTACAGAACCATACTGGTAATACTGTATCAGAAAATTTGTATTTTCTATTGACGTAGAAAGGAATGAGCATCTCTTCAAATAATATGACATACTACTTACATTTACATTTTAGTCATTTAGCAGACGCTCTTATCCAGAGCGACTTACATGAGCAATTAGGGTTAAGTGCCTTGCTTAAGGGCACATCAACAGATTTTTCACCTAGTCGGCTCGGGGATTAGAACCAGCGACATTTCGGTTACTGGCACAACGCTCTTACCCACTAAGCTACCTGCCGCCCTTGTAAAGTGGATTTGAAAAGTACTGGCCTACAAAACCACACAAACAAGTCTACAGCTAACACCCACACAGATATGCTTATAGATCCACGGCACAACTCGTTTTTTACATTTACGTCACGTTCACACATGGAACACTGCTCACTGTGTACTAATTGGTACACACTCATACTGTACAAACACACACTTCTACACACTGGTAGAAATACTGCTACCTTTTCCTCTAACCCTAAAAAGAGCGTTATCATAGCGTAAAAATCCCTTTCGTCTAATTGTTTGGTAGTTGCCACAAGACAACTACACGGCTTTTGGCCAATGGGGTAATGTTTCTCTGAGCTGGCTGGGTGAATAAAAAATGACACACACGATTAGGGTTCACAAATGAAAATCAAACACCAACAGTTAGTCTGTTTTCTCAACTGGAATTGCAGCCTCTCTCACAAAAGCATTGCACAGTGCACACACATGTGGAACAAGTTGCGCAACAGTGGTGATGGATACAGACAGTGTGTTTATTTCAAACTTAAATGCAAATCAAAACATGTGGGCAAACACTTACTTAACATCAACTATGGGGAAAATAATGCCCTATCCATATTGGACCACAACTTTTACTGTGTATCAAGACCTAAGCCATATGTTACTTTATTTGGCATGTAGCACGCACCAAATAATCTATAAAAAGATGTGAATTCTCGCCTTTACTTTTTCACTATTTTGTGTCAGCTATTTCCTCTGATTGCAACAGTATTTTTTACTAGACTTTCTCCCTGTCCAGTGTTTGCGACAGGTTTAGCCGAGGCACACCTGCCCCTAGACTGCAAATCAAAGCAGCACCCTGGTCCTCGCAACACACATACCTCTGCAAACTTAATGAGTGGGCCACAGCTGAAACCATTAGTTGGTCACCTGCACACTTCTAATGGGGGTCATAAAGATTGTGGCCTCGCTCAAGCCAACTAATTGTTTACACGTTTAAGGGCAGCTGGCGAGAAACACTTGTTTCTGTTGTGGGATCCAATGAACTGGCGGCTGAGATTTAGCAGTGAGACGAAGAGCAGGCTAAGTCCGGTGTCTGTATATATTTACACGAGTCGCCATGTTGTCACCGCCGTTCAACGTGTTAGATAGCGTGTTCCTGTACATTCTGCAACAGGGTAAATGCTCTGTGAGGCCCTTGTTTGAACTATCTGACACTATTCCACAAGGCTCAGTAAAATGATGCTGAATTGAATGCTCATTTCACAACAACTATTTTGGTCTCTAAAAATAAGAAATAAGAGGTCAGCCATATTCATTGACCTCAGGGATTGTGAATGATGATAGGTTATAGTGAAAGGAACCTTGGACAAAAAAAATCTCTCCCAAGACGACATGTGGTGATGTGAAATATGACTGAGTGCCACCCAACACAAATATGTCTGTCTGTACAAATTGTCTTCTCTGTCCCATATGCCTGGGGCCAATGGGGAGTATTGTCTCCATATTTTGAGTCCGGCGATTGGTGATGATTGAGGCAGTGACGGATTGGGCTCTGGATATAGAATACTGGGCTATCAGTCTCCTCGGTTGCTGTCAGTGAACACTGAACACTCAGTCTTCTGCTAAGCTTGGGAACTTGCAATTTATTAAGTCCCCCCCCCCCCCCCCCCCTTCACCCTCATCCTCCAAGCAGACAAAGACAGGGGCAACATAATTCATTTTGCTCGATTTTACAGTGGTAACTGGGGAGGGTCAAGTTAAATCTGTTCCTTAGTTGTGCAGCCCACTCAGTCACACACACCCCTCCTCTCCCCGCCTCAGTGGAATGGCTGTTTTGGGGGTTAGATCGGGAAAGGCAGTTGTGGTGGGCATAAGCTAGGGGAGTGTCTCTGAAAGTGATCCAGACCAATGCATTGCACATTTAATCAGCAATGACCATTGCTTATTGAAACACTTTACTATCCATAACAGATCAATCCACAACCACATTCTAGCGCTAAACAAAACTAACTAACAGTGTCCAGTTCCGTTTTTATTAACACTGGGTCACAAGGAAAGTACAGTAGGGTTCCAGAACCCATAGAAGGCCAGAGGTTCTCCAGAGTACTTTTCCCTTACCCCCTAAAAAGCAACTTGACCTACACGCACAAATGCAACTCTTTACTGCAATGTGACTTGACATACAGAAACTCACTGTTCGGTTATTGCCCCTCAAAGGAGTTTTGGTGAATGTATATTTTTTTATCAAACTTTTTGTGGCATGGTATAGGTTGGGTATGGGTAACTCCCATGCCATTTGGGGTAATATTTCATCTCTCGACGCGTCAAACCTCAAACCTGAATTTCCTCTATAGGAGTGTAGTGTTTGCGGCTAGACCACACATTAGCTACTTGTCCATGAGAGTTAAACATTTACTCAACAATTTACATTGCAAAATGACACAGACACATTGCATTGCACTCCACAAAGGTCAAAACACAGTAAGCCATAATCATCCAAACCAAGAGATGTAGCCTAGTTTAACTGACATTTTCATGTCCTTCCACAAAAAAGGACATGTCTGATGATCTATGCATAATCTTTTTACACTGGGAGGGAGAAATATCTGATATACTGTTATAAAAAGAAAATACAAAATATGCTAAAATCATATAGCAAATGGTCTCGGATAATGATTTTTGAACACAATTCAAATAGTATAATAACTAATGAATGTACTCTCACTAATAAAAGCCACTTGTCTTATTTTTGCAATATCTTAATCTAGATAAGTGTACATTTGACATTTTTTATATTTTATATAATATAAAGTGATACACTTTAACACTATATATCACCCACCATATAGCCTATATCTGTTCATGCAAATTGAAGTGTAGCTACCCTGCTAAGTATTGAAACTGTCAACCAGTATTGATCAATAACTTCTATACTGCTGGTCACCTTTTAACTCAATACATATCAGTTTCTATGAATTCTCTTTGTGTTACACAGGATAAATGTGTGACACGTGAGTTTAATTAATACGAAATTCAACAGCATGTCAGTTGAATTTCGCATTAAATGAAGCATAATTCAGTGAACACCAAATACTAAAACTGACATATACAGTTATGCAAGTGCTGCTGCAGGTCTATTTTTCCCAAAAATGTATCATAGCATTGTGATAAAGGGAAAATTGTGAACACATTAAAGTCAGTTTGTGGACTTAAAAATGTATTGACACCGTAAGAAAACCAGTATAGGCTACAAGGTGTCGTTGACACGACTACCCGTGAGCGCAAGTGTCAATTGACTCGCTTATCGGACTTGAACTGTCTGTGGATGTCTTTGTGTGCGACAGAATGACAACTAACACAGAAAAAACGTCTCCATCCTAGTTCATTATAACGTACTGCTGTTGTCTATCATGACACCACCACTCTCGGCCTCATGAAGAGCTGAGGGTCATTTACACGATAGGCCTACTTTGAGTATATATGATAGACAGTCTCATTTTGCATGCTCAAAATGCAGTGATAAACGAATAGCATGTTGAGCATGCTGGTAAAGGTAAGCTACAGTAGGCTTGCTCTTGTTAACCTTTTTGTGTGTTTCTTTTTTAGTTGGGACAACGGGATATGACAAACTGTCGGAAAATGCACCTACTATAAGAAATTATTGATGCCGAAAACTGACACTAATATTAACCTAAACTGAGGAGCAACGGTGTTAGTTGTTTACATTTTAATAGTAAGTCTAAATAATAAACATAGTATATCATATAATCTGCGATAGCCTAATTCAAGGGACAGGGCAGGTTTGTCCTGACTATTTTCCGTGATGACAACTTTGGGTGGTTAAAGATGTTCACGCAGAAACGTTAAAACCGAAAAGTAATTTGTCGGTAGGCCTTTATAGAATTATTATCAGATTTTAAAGAAGAAAGCATAGGCATTTAACTGGTCTAGATTATTTCAGGTCAGCAGAAGTCATTTATTTAAACACTTGAGTGAAACCAATCAATTTACGCCACTACACTCAACATAATCAATATTTTCAATACAATCACGTAGGCTATTATTTATTTATATTATATAAACCGTGCTTTATTTGTTTTAGACCCAAACATGAGCATAAATCAAGATTTTATCAATTTGAATTGATTTATGAAAATATTACAAATATTACATTTTATTAATTAAGCCCTTCAAATTAATTATTACTTATAAACAGCTTAAGGTAGGCCTAAATAATCCAAATGATATGTTTTCTCCTTGTGTGGCATAGTGGACCTGTTAACAAGCTGTCAGTCTTCACATCAATAACTTACAATAGCGCAAGCATGTCCATAAAATCGAGTTGCCCACAGCTGGATACATCGCTATTTCGTATAGCCTAAATGAGTAATATTCGATTAAATGTGTCTTGGTATAGTTCAAAATTATATAAAAGCAATGATGCTCATATGAATTCAATAGGCTGGGCCAACACAAATATCATAGTTTAATGCATGCAACTTTACGCAGAGATCACATGGCATAGGCCTACATATGAGAGTTATCTGTTAGGCTGCAAGTATGCACGTGCACTTGTTCAACACAAAGTCTAATATAAATAATTTGGGGGTTTCTTTAGGCTATGTGTAAGGGCTTCCTGAACCAACCAACTTCTGCACAGATGCAAACTCTTCGAGGTGCTCTTGTTGTTTAGCCAACACTTCTGTGGAACGGTGTTTGGTTTACATTAGGCCACTCATGCGAGAGATATGATGACGTTCTATTAGATGGAAGGTGCATATTGTAAAGTTTGAGTTATTTTCAGTAACAGCAAATTGCTTAGGGCTCATTCGGGCATATCATGTGAAAGCGCATTGTGCTCAATGCCTTCCATTCACCACACTTTGTGATGCTAGGCTGTTTACACATGCTAAAGGTTTACAAGTATTGGGGCACTAAGTCTATAGTTATTTTGCAAATCAATGCAGGATACAGTAGCCTATTTAAAATGCCAACCGTTAACGTTTTTACAGATGCTTTTCTATCGGGAACGCATTAAGCCTATACGTTAGCGTTCCTGTGAGCGGTTCTCGTATAGGCTACGAGTGCATATTGTCGGGCAATCTGCACTGAACTATCAGCATCCTGTCCAGCGATTATCATACATACATCTAGTTGATGTTTAACCTACCTTTGTGCTGCTGTGTTCGCGTCCAATATCCCCGCGCTCTGCATCCAAGAGCGAACCGGTGTCATGCCACTCGTGAGCGGTTCCTCTTTCATGGTCAAGGCTCCCCGCGGGAGGCTGTCCTGGATGGAGAACATGAAAGTAACCTTCTGGGAACTCTCTCTTCACCAAATCACAAGGCCACCTGGATTAACGACGAGCAACTGAAAAGGGAAGAATCTTCCCCAAAGTGCAACAAGGGGGAAAGCGATAGCGGTCCTTATCCAAAGACGAGCGTCGTATCCCTTTGGGTTTTTCCGCTTTATTTTTAATTCCAACCCCAGTTCAGTTCGCTCAAGCTTAACGGTCTCAAGTTAAAAGAGGGTGGAGAGAGGGTGAGTGTTAGAACAGTTAAGCATCTCGAAGGAGAAGAATCAGCCGGGATCAAGGATACCTTTTCGTCGTGAGTAAAGAGAGGGGAGATGCCGAAGTTGATCAGAAGAAGGCGAACATACACGCACGGGATTGTGAAATGAAAAGTGGGATAAAACAAGCGACTGCTTCAAAAAGGAGTAAAATGAAATGATTACCAAACAAGAGGGAGGGACGGACCATGGAAGGCTTGCTCTCCCAGGGGAAAAGGGGGATTGGGTAGCAAGAAATCTCATTCCCTCCCTCCCCGTCTCTTTATGCTTCCTCTGTCCCAGCGGAGCGCACCTTCTCTCGGGTTCGGAGGCTCCAGTGCTCTCCGGGGGGACAAGCATGGACTTGACAAGGGCGGAGACTAGTCCTTATATGGAAAATCATTTAAACGTCAATGACAGTTCTGTCTTCACATTGGCTGAAATCATCCATTACGTCATTTTTTGAATTCGCGGCAAAAGCTTTGCGCATGTTTACCTGTACTACATAGCACGCTTTGCTGGGCTGTGCGCATGGACTCTAATATGCGTATTGCCTTACCAGATTAATCTGTCGATTTGCATGTTGGTCTATTTTTTGAATTGGCTCATAAAGGCATAATGATGACCTCTCATTTGAAAGTATTGATACTGTCCTTTGAGTGCAACAAAAAAGGAGCACGGACGTCGGTGATTGATATTCACTGTATTTTGTTGTGGCACTGGACTGTATAAGATTCATTATGTTTTTGAGGAGCAATACACGTCCACAACATGATCATAGGACCTCATTTGTTTTAGAAAGACATACTCACGTGTGCGCACTCACACTCACACGCACGCACAAACATGCGCACACATAGACACACTCCCTCATCATACTATCATACACGCACGCACGCAGGCACACGCACACATTAACAAATATTTTACGATGATTGAACATTTGCTAATAGCTCATGATGGGCAATATAAATATTGTTACCTTATGTCTTTCTTGAGGGGTCCGTAGCGTGTAGGCATTTTTCGCAATCACGCTTCTCTTGGCATTGTTTAACAATATTTGTGAATGTGTTCAAGGAGATTTGACAGAGGGGTGTCTTTGCTGTCCTTTGCGTCCAGCAACGGTAATAAAATGGATCCCAACAGCCTAATAATTATACAATTATTAATAATAATAATAATAATAATAATAATAATAATAATGCTTTCTCATAGTTATTAATTATAATCATTCTTAACAGTTTAATTGTTTCAGGTAATTTGACAGATCTGTTAACGCAGTAGCCTACTCTGGCTACCACAACAACTCCAATTGAATTAAT